TTACTTTAACAAGCTGAGGTTAGAAGCTGATTGGCTACCATGCACAGCTGCACCAGATTCTGAGTGCTCCAGTTTTAGTAAATCTACCCCTGTGTCTGTCCTCCTACCAACGTTTATGTGAGGAGGAACAATTGCCACACAGAGCTCCTAATTTTTTAATGTATATAGAGACATGAACATTCCACATGCAGTAAGGGCCTTTTGAAAAGAAAGGGATTTTTTTTTCTGAAATCACATTGATATTACAAAGCTGACTTAATAAAGCATTGGGAACAAAAGTTGGAAAAGCATCAAAGCCATTAAGCAAGTCCAAATTCTGCCAGTTGTCATCTGCATAATAACAATTTAAAGGGAACCTGTGTCTAGGCTATAAACATTTATTTGCTTATTTTAGTTAAATTCATTTTAAGACAAACCCACGCTGACCGACACTCTGTAGTAATTAACCCTCAAATTTCATATTAAATTCACTGGTACCAAATGCAATCAAACTCTTAAACCGGCCATAGACTGCAGAGAGCGGCAGAGATTCAAACCATGTATGGGCAGGCTAAATGTACCAAGTTGATCAATCAATCAATTTGGGTACAAACAGCCTGTCATGTTTTACATGCGATTATAGCCACTAGCAGTAATCACTGTGTTCTCCCTGCTGGGATGGCTCCCCCCACCCGCTGCTGGGAGAACACAATGGCTCAACAGCTCCCCAATGGACAGTCAGTCAACCCCTGTTTGCAGAAAAGATCTATGGCCGGCTTTAGCAGCTTTATCTCACTTTGTTCTCTCTCCCAGCAGTGACTTGGCAGCCTTTCAGCCTTCTAATCCAGAGGTCTCCCAACTATGGTCTTCCAGGTGTTGAGGAACTGCAAGTCCCATGAGGCCTTGCATGACTCTGACAGCCATAGGCGAAACTCCAAAGGCAGAGGAATTATGGGACTTGTAGTACTTCAACAGCTGGAAGGCCATAGTTTGGAGACCCCTGTTCTAGCCTAAACACAGTACACCAGCTCTTCGTTTACATTAGAAGACTGGAAGACTGCCAAGTCACTGTAATCCCCATTGAACTCTCAGAGAAACCTTTATTTCAGTGGAGACTGCATAAAATCTATGGTCTATAAATGGCTTACCCTTGTGTTCCTAATAAAGAAACGGTGAAAACCTCTATCCCCCAGGCTTAAGGCTACAGAGAAAGACTGCTGCTCTCTGTGCAGAGCTCTGATTGCATAGTTCTAGATGTCAGTCATGGGGGGAGTGTATTTGATTGCTGCAGAGAGATTGCAGTTCTCTTGAAGTGAGCAGTAGTCCTTCTCTGAAGTCTGCAGCTTAGAAGAAAGAAGTTTTTTTAGGGGTTTCTATGATAAAGAACAAAAAAGACATGTATAAGTCATAGACTTTATGTAGCCACTGCTGCAATAAATATATTTTGCTGAGAGTTCAGCTGGAATTTATATAACCTTCCAGCATCTACCAAAATATAAACTGGCTTGTTTAATGATCTGGGTGCTTGCTTGTGCAGGGGCCTGGTCGCACAGCCAGATCTCATAATGGACTAACATGTTAAGGATCTCTGGAGATTCTCTGTGATGCTAGTTTTTCGAGATTTAAAATAACTGCAGAAAAAAACTAAACTTTAATCAGATTGAACTGTAAGTACTGTGGGAGCGGATAATGGTGACCCTTAGATGTCTCCTCTGACAAAGCAGAAATCTCTCTAACAGTATGTATGATATGGTACCTGTTCTGCACTGGCACTGTGGAAAGCAGCTGTCTTCTCCACTCTACAGCTTTGTTTGTACTAGAAAAACATTGCCGCAATCAACATTTCTTGATTAGTTTAAGTTAATATTATCCAAGAGCTCAGTTTGGCAAGTCGATGACACAATTTCATTCTGAAAAACCACAACGGCTTTGATTTGTAATTACAATATGTTTGGGTTCACATCAGTGTCAGCGCAGTTGTTGGCCCCAAAACCTTTGGTTTATATATATTGCTTTTGTGATAGAGCGTTGTTTTTTCTTTTTCAAACTTCCATCAGCAGCAACGACTAGACCTTGTTTTCTCCCCCAAGTTCAAAGATTTCTTTGATTCTGCTCCATAGAGAACTGGGGAAACACCAGCACCTGATTGCACTGTCAAAGGGTTTCCAAATTACAGCATTGTAAGTCATGTTATATGTTAAGTCAGTTGAGGCATATTCTACTTACCTTCTTCAACTGTGCTTCCAACTTACTGCACTCTTCTTTCTTCTGTTCAATGGCCATTTCCAGGGACTTCAGTTTGGAGTCTCGCTTGAGTCCAGAGGAAGCCAGAGTGGAGGCATGTTCTTTCATGTCTATTAAACTGGCCTAGAAAGATTAAAAGGTCAGTGCTTATACATATTCACCATCAAGACTGAATGTCTTTCTTTCTTCTCTAAAATAGCAGTTTTTACATCATATGGTAGATTGTTTTTTAATTAAGAGCAGGTGCCTGCACAAACCTCTTATTTCAGCTTCTACAAACCATGAAACTGGTGGCAATCTGATAAGCAAATATGTACTTTTGAAAGCCAAGTTGAAGGTTGGTCCTCCCCTCCGGAGCCAGGCTATTGTTTATTGAAGATTAGTCCTCCCTCTCCTGAGCCTAGCTATTGTCTTCAGAACCTGCTCTTCATGCCTAAAGTGGTTCTAAAGGCTGAAGGCTTTTTACCTTAATGCAGAGGCACACTCCGCTCTCTCCTTCCTCATTGGTTCAGAGACAGCAGCAGGAGTCATTGGCTCACACCGCAGTTAAACACAGCCAGTAAGGAGGCTGAGCCATGCTCTCTGTGTCCATGGGAGCAAGCCTGCACAACTGCCCCCATGATGTGCACTTAATGGGAAGGTGGGTGTTAAATCAGGAGAGCTGGCGGAGGACCCAAGAAGAGGAGGATCAGGGCCATTGCACAGAGCAGGTTAGTATAACATGTTTGCTATTTTTAAAAAATAAAATTGGATTCTTTTCAAAGATCTAGGTGCAGGAGGAGGACTAGCACTCAGATTTGCATTCAAAAGTCAGTGTTAGCATATTATAGCAAATTCCCTAAATTGCTTGAAACTGGGAAAGCATATTGAAAGACTGCTGAACTTATAAACTGATGGAAAAAACTTCAAATCCACCAAGTATATCTCCAACAAAATTTAAAGCTGAACTCCAGGTAAACACCTAAATACACAGATGAAATAAACACTGTATATGAAAACTGTTTTACCTGCAAATGATTTATATTTGTGCCCATCCAGTTCTGAAATGTACACAGCTTCTGCAGAAGACCTGATTTTGTTTTATTACAAATAAGTAACAAGACAGGTCTTGTGCCTCCCCCAGTTTGTGATTGGAGAGTGGAAGGAAAATAAGCAGACTGATGAGCTTTTGTACCTGTCACTCTGCACTTGCCTCCTCTCAGCACGTTCCTTGATAGCACATGAGTTTAACTGACTGTCTACTTGTGCTGCTTCCCCTTCTCCTAATCTGAGCTCTGCTGGACTGCAAGGAGCTGATACCGAGTCAAATTCAGGTACTTGATCTGCTTAAATTTAAAAAATGCATTTATTGTTGTAGTAATTAATACTGAGCTTCAATAATTGCTGTCTTTAATATCTGCTTTAACTGCAGTATAGTCTGTGCAGAGGTCTTGACCTGACTCTATCAATTATTAAGGATATCTGGTTCACAAACCTGAAAAAAACCACAAATCCTCTGGCAAGTAAACAGATGACATATATGCATTTTCCATTTTCTTTACCTGAAGTTCAGCTTTAAATCAGCAACATAATGAAACTTACTCATCAATAATGATAATCCTATTAACGTACATTATAAATAAACCTCATCCAGCAGCACAGTGGCTAAATGGTCAGCACTTCCGCCTGGCAGTACTAGGGTCATTGGTTCGAATCCCAGCGACGGCTCCTCCTGCCTTGAGTTTGCATGTTCTCCCTGTGTCTGTGTGGGTTTCCTCTGGGTACTCCAGTTTCCTCCCACACTCCAAAGACATAGCTGGTAGGTTAATTGGATCCTGTCTAAATTGGCCCTTGTATATGAATGTGAGTTAGATTGTACACCCCTTGAGGGTTAGGGACTGATGTGAATGTACAATATATATGTAAAGCGCTGCATAAATTGACGGCGCTATATAAGTACCTGAAATAATAAATAATAATAATAATCTAACATCACCCACCTCTTTCTCTGTCAGCTCAGCTTGCAAACTGTTTACTTTCTCTTTCAAGTCCTTGTTTTCTTTTTTATATAGTTTTCTATTTCTTCTAGTCTCTCTCGGTCATCCCTCTCCCTCTGTTCCTTTAAACGTTCAATGATTCTCTCCTGTAAAATTTAAAGTGGATAGGCAAATAAAGTGTATGTTAGAAACTCATAGAAGTAGTTTCACCCATGGATTCCATAGCAACAAAGAATCCACTCAAGAAAAACAAAAGTTAATATCGGTACACAGAAAATTCCATCTTTCAATAGAGTGAATGAATGTGGTATTATACACACATTTGAATTATGTGTCTGTACATGACACAAAACGAACATATCAAATGAATGCAGCTGGAAATGAGCATATAGTTAATAAATTATATAGCGCCAACAAATTCCACAGCTCTTTATGGAGAACACTAAACCTTTTACATCAGTGCACGCACCAGAGGAGATTATAATCTAACGTCACTAAACGAGTCATGCAACACACACTTGAGATCCATTTTGGAAAGTTCCAGTAAACCTGTGTATGTTTTTGGGTTAACTACCCATAAGAAATTCATGCAAAGATGGGAGAACATGGAGATACCATCTTGGTAGAATGAAACCCAAGGATTCCTGCATTGCACCAGTGTTGACCACTGAGTCAACAGGCCACCCACTGCTATAAAGCAATGCTACCCATTTGTTATGGTTAAGTCAGTGAATGTGTTTTTTTAATGAGCATAGGAAAGTGTTTTAAAAGTGTGGGTGTTTCAGGAGGAAACCAACACAAGGGCTACATCAATGGTGCTCAACTTATTGGATATTGGGTACCTTAAGTGTGGTTCCATGCCTTGTTAGAGGTCTGCACATAATATTCAGTCCTTGTAATACTACATAAAACTGTCAGGGACAGTGGACATACCATGGGCAGGCATGGGGCCCCTGTGTCCTTGCCCAAACTCAAAAAAGCCGATGAAAAAGGTCCTAGGGGCATCTCATGGGGCCCCCTACTGACCCCGGGCTCTCGGGCAGTGCCCGGGTTTCCAAATGGTCAGTCCGTCCCTGGGACATACTACAGTAGATGGTCAAAGACTATGGGCATGCCACAGTAGATGGTCAAAGACGTAAGACATTACAAGATACTGAAGACATGCAACAGGAGATATTTCAGACTAAGGAAATGCTGCAAATGATGATCACAAACTAAAGACATGTTATTTGTGACTGCGAAAGATTACTGCCATTTTCAGTCCCTCTACAAAGTAGTTGTGATGCATGTGTACAACTTGCAGCTCCTGTAAAAAGAACTGGACTGCACTTGATATACCTCTCAGCAACATACAGTATAGAAAAAAAATGCATTATTCAGAATAGGGAATTCACTCTATAGTCATTATTTTAGAACAGGGGTGTACAAACTTTGTAAGCAAGAGCCAGTTTACTGCCCTTCAAAATTTAGGGGGGCTGAACTGTGGTCAGTGGAGGTAGAAAATGCCCTGGTATTATTAGGAGTAAACAATGCTTGGTGGTCTATAGTGCCCCATCACTGGTGTCAAAGAAGGAAGGAATAGTGCCTTGTATCAGTGGAAGGAATAGTGTCTCAGGGGCCAGAAAAAAGGAGACCCCTGTCTTAGACGGTTAGCTCGCCCTGTTCCCCCCACCCAGCAGTGACTTAACAGCCCTCCTCACAACATAGGTCAGGTCAGCTGAGCTGCAGTGAGGACAATTTGAATGACTTCAGTGCTTCTGCTGTGTACTTTGAGAGTGAATTGCTCCATAGTGACTGGGCATCTATATAAGTCAGACAAAGTTTATTTTAATGCGTATTTACTAAAAATGTTATGAGTATGTAAATACTTGAACATTCTTTGTCCAGCTATAGGTACACTTTAAACCAACTTCAGCCCTGGCCATAACACTTAACCGTTTAACCTCTAACCATGAGTTAACTAGTTAAGCCTAATGTAACCTGTAACATTGCTTTAACCACCTTTTCTGGCACTGGAGCGGTCAGTTCCAAAATAACAGTCCCTTGTGGAAAAAGGAACAGTTATAACCAGTGTGAAAAACGCATAACCCTAGAACTGGTCATCAACCAATTCATTTTATCAGAATCGGCTCAGTTTGGTACCATCCAATTTCCACTGTCTTCATTTCCCCATCAGACATATTGATGAATATGTGCCATTCTACCTTGTTGGCTCTACCCACAAATGCAGAAAGACAAGAGACTGGCAATAAAAAGCATAGATTATGTAGGAATATGTGTAAAAGTGAGGTAGAATTTGGCACAGAGATGAAAAAAAAAAACATATAAAAAGGTATTAAAAATAGGCCAAATGGAAAGACACAAACCCAAATGGTGTAGCAGAACATGCACTGCCCAATGGACGGCATCTGTTTCTACTAATTAATTTATTACACATTCAATTTTTACAGAAGATGAAAATGAACAGCAGCCCACACTGAAAATTTCTAAGAAATACAGAAAACCTATTATAGAATCTTGTTTATTTGTTCACATGCTCTAAATCAAATCCTGTCAATAAAACAATTTCTTTGCACATTATCTAATAGAATTTCGGGGAAACATATGGCTTTCATGATTTTTTTTCCCTTGGTGTAATGTACTATGATTACATAAAACCGGACTCTATAAGAAGGCCATTTAATAAACACTTCTACGCACTTGCAGTTGGTTAGAAAGGGAAGACTACTGGGCCTGTCATCGGTACAGGCTGAAAAGTCAAACACATCTGTTAGAGGGGGTTCTACTTGATTAACAACTAACATGGGGAAATCTCAACAATATGTTTCTGTTTTACTCATATTTGCATTGGCAAGATCTGCTTGCACGCTAAACAGGTTTTTTTTTTCCTTAACATGGCTAATCGTTTTGCAGTTGCAGGAAGTAAGCCCAGAGTAGTCGATTTATCAGATATAGGGAAAACCCTGCACTTGGGCTCCCTTAAACGAACTCATGCCATTCCTCTTTCTATCCCATCTAAAAGTGCTTGGGCACAACATATGTAGTGAGCTTTTCATTATTCTCCTCATATCACTACCAATTTCTGGATAGCAGCTTTAAAACTCTGTGTAAAAATCAGCTTTACCTGTAGAAGTCAGATCTGCAATGCCTGTGTACATAAATGACTTTCTGGATATAATGACACCATCTGACCATTCCCCATTGGCCGGAACTGTACTTTTTTCTGTTGGGTGAGCCACTGGAAATGTCTCATTCATTGGGTCACTATTTAGTGAATCCCACACACAGAATATGTGTCTGACTTTGATATGCACACAGTATGCTTGTTGCAGAACAGCTGCTTATCAAACAATAAAGAAAGGATAAGAACATGAGTTCTTAAGCACATACCTTTTAAAACAGTGCACAACTGAAGCTCAGTTATCCAGCATTTTATTGTATTTTAGAAATATTTTAAAGTCTAGTCATGACCTGGGTGCCTTGTGTTGCATTCAGCACCTCACATGATCACTGTGATTCTTCCAAAGGTCAACCTCTTTACATTGGCCATAAAGAAAATGAACAGATCTTAATGGGCTTTCCTAGCACAGGAGAGAGAAGGTTTATTTGGGAAAAGACCTGGACCATTCATGAAAACAGAAGATCCACATACTCACAGCCTTCCTATAACATTACTTAAAAAAAATTGGTGCAAACAAAAAACTTTTTTGGCCTGGCACGCTGCCCCCTAGAAGAGCTGGGTGCTCGAAATCCCACAAGAATGCATTCCTGCAATGGTATGGAACACATTCTTTACAGAGCTCAGGTGCCCAGGGCTTCCCAGAGGCAGCAGTGGAGCACAGTGATGTTAAACATGCTTTCTAGAAATGTTGGAAGCCATGCCAAGGCCCAAATATTATTCTATTTTTTTTGCTACAAATTTTAATATTTAAAGGGTTTTTTGAAGATATCCATTTCCATGAAAGATCCACTTTAAAACACCTATGACTAGGAAAAAAGCAGCCTCCTTTGCAGCACATTGTTTACTTTAATACAAGTGTGTTTAAGGTGCAGGTGTTGAAAGTTCCATTATCAAGAAAAGGAAATTATGCTTTCACCAAACCTGGACTGCTTATGAATGCCTTCTAAATGTGAGAAGAAAGGTGCAGTGGGATTCAGGAACATCTAGCCAATGGGGATACATAGGTCATTCATATGTTAGCAGTGTTGGAGCTGACTGCAACATCTATCTAGCTAGCCTTTTGATAATGAGCACCCCAACAATCACAGCTTTGACAAAAATAACCAATTAATTTATCTAAACCAAGTTTTCAGACACTGCTCATTTACAACAAGAGATACATAAAGTGTTAGTCATCTAAAACTGGCTATGCATTGTTCAGTTCTTTCTGTACAGCAGGTGGGCTAAAAAAAAATTGCACAAATTTCCCTAGCCATGCATGTGATGTGAATCCTACCCACTGTGTCAGAATACAGTAATAAGTGCTGCAGCCGATTGGTTGCAAGCATTGATTGAAAGAAAATTTTCCAGCAAGACTGTTCCTCAAAAACACAAACAGCCATAGATGGATCAAAAATTCAGACGGTTGCTTCTGAACTGGCCAAATTTCTATTCATGTTTGGCCAACTTAAGATTGCTGCACCTGCTAAGACCTTTTTACGTGTATGTATAGTTTAAAATGAAAATTAAAGTAGAACTAAAGACAAAACTTTTTTTCATTTTGGATATAGTAAGGGAGGGTTATACCTTCTGTTCATACCTCTATTACATTGGGTAAATTTCCCTTTACTAACTGTCCCACTGCTAAACAGGAAGTGAAGAGAAATTCCTCCAGAGTAAGAGAAATCCATGCCTGTCACCCATTGCAAGATTTTCCCTCTATTACTGTTCTGGGGATACCCAAAATTTGGGATATTTTCTCACTTTCACTTTTGTGATAACAGTAAATAGGGCAAATAGGGTGAATCTCCCTAATGGATGTACAGACAGCCATGAAAACCTTACAGGTTTTTGTAATCCCTCTCAGCTCAAAAAAATGTGTTGCCTCCAAGCTGCAAAACATTTCTATAGTAGACGCTTCCTTGATCATCATGATACAAAATCTACCCTCCATTGTAAGACATAGAGTGCTTTGCATGAACTATAAATGAATATGAGAACGTTTAGTTGTGTCTGGATGTAGAGGCGTTACATAATCCTTATCCACACCGTTAGGACAACCCTTTATTTGCCAATCTGTAAAAATGTGGTGCGCAGCGTGGGAGAAATATAGAGGGTGGTGAGTGGGGACCAGAGAGAGAGAGGAGGATCCACACAGCTGGAGGTTACTACTGAGTGGGGAATCAGCAGAGCTGGGTGTAATACTGAGCAGGGGATCTGCTGAACGAGGGTACCAATGAGCTGGGGATCTGCTGAGTGGGGGTACTACTGGGCCCCTTTAAAACAAATCAAAAATCAACACACAGGGCATTTGCCAAGCTTCATTAAAGCTTCAAAAAAGCAACACAGAAGCATCACAGGTTCATTACCGAAGCATCAAAAAAGCATGTTGAAGCAATAGGCACTTTAATGTGTGTTAAAATCGAAGTGTAAATGAGCCCTGAGACACTTCCAACTATTATTTTAGTCCAAAATCCATCCCTCGGGGTACATGGTACCGCTACTCATTCACAAAAACAAGTCTTTTATTACAAACAGCAAAAAAAAAAGTTCCGCAAGTAGATCCCACGTCAATCACGATTGCCACCGCCGACCCTGAAAAAGAACACATGAATGGCCAATGTTCGACTGGAACATCAAGCCCAACACTAATTAAGGAGGCTATTTATGAAAAATGTGCATAGCTTCCATTATTTCCTACAAATAGCCCCCGCTACGACCCTATCACCAACACTGGCAAACTGA